TTTCTTTCTCTCTCTCTCTCTCTCTCTCACACACACACACACACACACACACACACACACACACACACACACACACACACACACACACACACACACACACACACACACACACACACACATACCATCTTTCCCTATCTGTCTCTGTATCTATATCACTTCATTCATGCAACTCCCTTTATCCTATTTATTTATCTTTCAATCTGTAAATAGCATCACTTGTCTTAGAAGCAGATGCACATCCTGCACATGCTAGACTAATGGAATTTATATAAAACTATATAATAGTATGCTCTATTTCATCTGTTGAAACCATTTTAGTTCTCTACTGATATATGAACGTTTATGTTCAAATTCAGCAGTCAAGAATAAGTAATAAAATATGTTTATTTCGCGATTTATTTTCTGTTGCGAGTAGTCGTAGACGTTTTGATTGTAGCGCACTCGCGTGGCTCCCACCTTTACTTCACACTATCGAATATACCTGTCCTTGTCCCTGTTTTCATGTGGTCTGTGACGCCAATGCTCGACATCCATTCACATCCAAAATTTCTTTTCTGGGATCACTTAATTCTTCCAAATTGCATCTACCCATCCTTGCAAACATTTCTAAACCTTTCCCTAAGTTAGAGACTTTCGTGATAATGTGTCCCGATACTGATATCTCAAAGTTATATTTCTTTATGTAACGAAGGTTATAATTCTTTGATATAAAATCAGTTTCTGGTGCTCACAGATTTCTGGTATTTATTCTTTGTAACTCTTTTGGCACGATGCTATAAATATGTTCTTTTTCACAGCTCTATCTTACTCTGTTTTTCTTCTACTACGCAAACTCTCTATGTACACTGTCCTGCTTTTCCCCAAAGATCTTTATGGGGTTTATTTATTGGAAGAGCAAGCATGACGTTACATCTTTGTTTGACAATAGAATAGCGAAATGAATTTAGAACCTGTTAAAATAAAAAGTACGCTCAGTTTGCTGTACATTTTATCGAGTAAGTTAATTTATTGTCTAAATTTCTTCTAACAAGTCATCAGCAGCTAATGTGTGTTCTTAACTCTCCATGTTGTTGTACAAACAGTCTGTAAAGATGCTGTCATCTTTGTTTCTAATGGATACGTTCGGTAATTTCTGTGAACAAATATCTTTTACATTTAGCGATGTGTTTTTATCTTAATGGGGCTTAAGATGTACAGTGTTGATATGTGCTATATGTTGTTTTAGCAGAAATTCAAATACACACAACATGCTCTAGAACATTTCTGACAGACCACTGTAGACAAAGATATGTCCATGCAAGCCAGTACGTCTGCCCAATCCCACTTGAAAATGCAGACTCGAATCTTTGCACCAAAGTTTAGTATGTTTGCTTGCCAAAGACATTAAAAATTAAATTTAGAGATACATTCTAAATTATGTCCGGGGTTGTTTTTTTGCGGGGGCGCGGGGGGGGGCGTAAAACACATGCATTTTTTTAAATTGGAAGGAACTCTGGTTGGAAGAAACATTTGACAGTAAATGTGCACTTTCAGTTAAACACGTTAGTACTTTAATTAATTTGGTTGCGGAATTCTGACTAGCACCCTCTATCTATCCATCTATCTATCTATCTACATGTACCTTTCTGTGTATTTATATATCTATCTATTTATTACTGTCTAGCTAGCTAGCTAGATATCTAGCTATCTAGCTATCTATCTTTCTAGCTATTTAGCTATCTAGCAAGCTATCTCGAGTCAGTTTTGTGTGATATGAAAATGTATTGTCTTTCGTGATACGAAAACTGAAACCTTGCCAAGCGTAATTATTTTGTACCAGCGTCTGTGGTGTAGCGGTTAGATGCTTCGCTGGCGCATGCAGGAGACCCGAGTTTGATTCCAGTGTGCGGAGAATTTTAATCGAGTTTCTCGATCTTTCTGGCGGGATGGTGTATCCCTCTCAGCTTGGAATGGCTCTGACAGGCAATGTTGAGGCGTACTTCAAACATTCTCTAAATTGTATCGACGGGGTGCTAAAACATCCACATTTAAAAAAGAAAGAGTATGTGTTAGCCAAATACTAACAACCTCAACTACGTGTACGTTAAATAGAAATGTCTATGGAAGTAAACGTATTAATGCATGCTCTGTGGTTTGCTTATTTTTGTCCTTCGTAAAGACCACAACCTTCTGTTGGCGTGACAAAGACACCGTGAGTTTCTACTGGGCTTCGATTCGTTGTCTCTTCGTTAATGAAATCGTTCATTTTGCTAATGAATTAACAGCATGATGTTGGTATGAGACGAAACTGCTAAATGATAAAGGGTCGAATAACGACCAAATCTGAAGTGTTTAAAACGCGCTTGCCTCTGTGCGGTGAAGTTTTTATTTTAATGTAATGTTTGCTCGGTATGCTTGAAGTAAGTGTGTTTTCTTATTCCGTTACGGAGAACCTGTCGGAAATGAAGTGCACCTTTCAAAGCCACAATTTTAGATTTGCCTTATAAACATTTTGTCATGGCAATACACGTTCATAGCAAAATGTGGATTATTAGTATTACTGAAGAGGGTGGAGGGTGGTTGATATATATATATATATATATATATATATATATATATATATATATATATATATATATATATATATATATATATATGCAGAAGAATTCTTAAGGATTGAAAAGGCTTGCATATGTAATATTGTGCTTTTTTATGCTAAATGCTAGTCAACTAAAAGCAAGCTAAGCTTTCGAAATCCGAGCCTTACTATAAATTTCCAAGATCAAAAACATGATATAGTATATAACATAGCTATATATTAGATTAGATCTTTCAAAATGTCGCGCGTTATCAATGATTAGTCTCGTTCACTAAAATTCTTCTTTTGCTTCTCTCTGTTGTAACTTTCTGACTAACTTCAAGGATATTATGTATCAAGCCAGTTGTCTTTTATCCCTTCACATTATGTTTTTAGAAACACATAAATTGCTTACGTCATCAGCACCATTATTGTGTTATTAGGCTCGTTATAGAAACCATTAGACGCTGTCAATACCGGTCAGCAGCTCTCTATGATCATCTCGGGTAAGGTTACCGTTAGTTATTCCCCTTTCCTTGGCCTCCATACATGCTCCTGATATTTCCAGATATCATGTTCCCCTTCCAACTAATTGCATCTAACCAAATGTACCATTCTGTCTCTCTTAAACTTCTTCAAACTTGTTATGCTACCTGCATAGCCTTAAGTTTTACGTTCTTTTCAAACACCCACGTCTTTTCCATCGGAATGAGACTATTCCAAAATATCTATGAGTAGGGTTTAATATTCTCTGGAAAAAATAGCTGTTTCTTAATAAATATCTCCTCTATTTAACCCATTCAGTTGAATAATCAACCGTAGTTTTGTGATTTGGGGGGTCTTTTTGCAGCGTGGTTGGGTAAAAAAAATGTTCAATTATATTGTGTGGGGTTTTTTTCTCAATTGAATACAATTCAGTGGTAGGGTTTTCTCTTTCTGGGGAAAAGCTCGACTCTAGATGTATTCATCTCTGATCAATTTTTCTGCCTCTGTGCTTCGCTTCAAGCAATCTAATTACTATGACTTAATGTCTGTTCTTACCCTGAACACTCACTGGCTACTCTTACCATTTTCCCTGATAACATCACTGTCAAAGCATTTTCTTTTCGCATGTCTTTACCCTTAGAGGCCAACCTCATCTACAAATTGGCTTTACCGTTTCTGCCGAAGAGTTTCTGTCTATATAAAGAATGGTCTTCACGGTGTGTTCATCTTCTCTGCAAAGACACACAAATAAGTGGACAAACCTAAAGTGTTCGTGCTTGTGAAGGTTCAAGTGAGTGTGCACAGTCAAACAGGAAATGGTTACTTGTCCCTTTCGTGGCAACCTGTTGCGGGTTTTCATGCATCTCTGTGGCATGTGCACTGACTTAATTAATGGTTTCTCGTCTTACAATTAAGAAGCTAATGTTAGATGCAGCTTACTCTTCCTCTGTTTCCCAAAGTTTGCCAGATACCTGTGGTTTTGTTTCCAGAGATATTTACAGTGCCCGAGTATCCACAGTAGAATGAGTCTGGTGCACCTGAATGTCTTCCCTACTTGAAGTGGCACTGCCATTTGTTCAGACTAATGCTGGGTCTCCAGCTGTGTGGCGTCGGTAGCCTAGTGGTTAGGCTCTTAATCGTGAGATTGCGGGTCCGGGCGTTCGAGCCTCAGCTCGGTCCGAAGTTGCGTCCTTGGGAAAGGCACTTTACACGAATTTCTCATTTGGCTTAGTCCTTTCGGAGATGGACGTTAAAGTCTGAGGCCCCGCTTCTTAAATAACCGAATAGTGTTGACAAACCTATACCATTTTTTCTCCAGCTGTGATACTCCTGATTTATTTTGCTGAAGTCACCAAGGCCACTATTTCTGCAACTAGTAGTCAGCAGTTAGAGTTGTGAAGGGCAGGTGGCTGTTTGACAATCTGCTGGTGTCGATCTGGGCACGACACTTGGATTTTGACTCCTTGACCCTGATTGCACTGTGCAAGATCTGTAGGAGTGTTCATTTGCATCCATGTTTCCTGTGGGTACCTTCCTCCATCGTTGCTAGAGTGCAGGCTTTCTTCATTTTTGGAGTCGATGTGTGGTGCGGTGATGAGATCTTTAGGCCATTCCGTGGCTGGAAGGTGTTCATATCCTGGAGAGCTCCTCTGCTACACACACAATCTATTAAGGTTCTTTAATGAGGAGTTGTGATAATGATGCCTTTAGCAATTATTGTTCTCTCTGTCAGTCTTTCCCTTTCGCTGTAAGCTTTATCGTTTTCATTGCGTATGCTCTATGGTCTTCTATATTTGGGCAGTTCTTCTTTTAGTTAAAACAACCCATTTAATTGCCAATTAGGATCAACTCACACCTCTTCAACCCTTTTGTCTTTTCTGCTTTTTTAGTTTTCCTACAACTGGTGTGTTTCAAACATTCAAAGTGTATTTTAACATATATCAATGCACGGTACCCCTATGCCCTTATCCCAGTGCGTAGAAAAACAATTAATGATTTTGGAATAGTCTGTTCCTGGAGGAATTAAAACAAAATTCAGTTTTCAGTATACACTTTGTAAGAATGTGTTTTTCTTTGACATTTTATGTAACACGTTCTATTGGTGTTAGAATGGTTGTATTCTATATAATATAGAGTTACGGCTGTTATGTTCTGCTCGAATCTGAGTTGTTTTCCGTAAGTCATATCAAAGTTTCTTCTGTAACACAGTTTTATTACCGGCAGTTAGAAAATTGCAACGTAATAGGCTTCATAAAAAGATAATAAATTAATTATTTGTACAATATAGTAAGTTGTCTAGTTGATTCTTGGTAATCAGATCTCGTTGAAAATTGTTTTGAGGTCTACATTCCACATCAATTTACAATAGCATCGTTTGACTAGACCCTGCAAGGTCCTTGACTAGTACCACTAGTGTTTTGGATTATGTTGCCTTTTCTCGTTCTTTATTTTTTCATGTTGAATGTCTACTAACAGTTTCTCAAAGCAGTGATAACTTTCTCTTGTGGCATTGTTCGCCTTCTGATATTTTGATCTGTTTTGCTCACTCTGAATTCCCCATGAAATCTTACCATTTCTTCTTGCGTGTGCTATTTTTTGCAAGACTCGTTAATGTTTCTTTCCATATTAATGATTTGCTCTATGTTCATGCAGTCGTTGTATTGAGCTAGATGTTTCTGAACTTTTGTTGACTACCTTTCTCTTTGATAATGCGAATATCTGTAGTTTCATTAAGAACGTTTTCTCTTTCCCATGCGAAACAGGTGAATTCTATATGTGATGTATAGTTCGTATTTGTCTGTCTTGCTCCCTGTGTTTGTGTCTGGGTTGAGATATGTGTATTGTTCAAAGCTACTAACCGAACTACTGTAGTCACCATTTCCCCGTCTGTGATTCCCAGTATGCAGTTTGAACGACCTCAACACGATGTTTTCCACTGGTAACAGTTATATTATTGTCTGACTGCAGAGGAGGCGAAATGATATTGTGTAGCTAGAAACTAGACTGTCGTATCTAGTTTGGACGCATGCAGGAAAATTTAGTTGTACAAAATGTCGTTCAAAGTAACACGTTAAAGGGTGCGAAAGTTCACAATGCTTTTTTGGTGTCAAATCATTGAATAATGGAATGTTTGATTTGTGCTCTCTGTGAATCGTATAGTACATTAGTAAGTACAAGACATAGTACGTTGTAACTCTGTATTGTGATCGATCTGATCAGGACATCCAGAAAGAAATGGAATACTTTTCTTTTGAAAGTTTGGGCCCTGTTGCTACTAGAAACTGAAATGTAGCATAGAACACTTAATTCTGTTTAGAAATTTCCATAGAGTGTTCGAATGCATTGTTTGTTTGTCGTCAAAGATTGCATTATGTGGTATCTCTATTGAAGCATGACATGTTATGTGTTGATAGCAAGTGTTACAGCAGGTGAAAAAGAAATGAAAGTTTTCAACTTTAAAGGCACAATTGGTTACCAGAAATCTGATGTCGTACGAAATGAGGAAAGAAAAAAGGAAAAAAAACGATATGAATGTTCCTGCATGGTCCATGTCTTAGGTCCTTCATTCAGTCTGTATTCGTGATATTGTGCTACTTTTCTCGGAATACGTATAGCATTTTTTGTACCTCTGTTTTCATGAACTGACTGAAAATAGTACTATGTGGTGTTTCAATGTGTGTTGATAGATGCAGAATAAATACTAGCGATTTTTGTTAATAGTGTGAACTCCATTGTTGTTTTGGAG